TGTATAGAATCAATAAAGCAATTAGAAAGAATATTTTTTAAATGAAAAATAAAATCTTAAATTTAGTAAATAAATATAAAGCCATCAGCTTACATGTTTCAGTTATTTATTTATTTGGTTCATGCATTCATAAACAGATTTCATTTTTATCCCAAAAATTTCTGCTGTTGCTCTTCCGAGTCGTCGACAACATTAAAAACCAATCAAGCTCATTGTCACATAATCAAGCGAAACACAACTTCTCTACACTCACACACACACACACACTCGCATATGGTTTATATTTTATAGTTTTCGCTAGCTTCATACACACTCTAAGGGAGTGAGAGAGATAGTCAAATAAAAAATAAAAAGGGAAAGTATAGAGCTCTGTCGCATAATAGTTTTGGCTTATGAAAACAAATTCAATTTGGAAGCTGCTTATGAAAATGTTTATGCAAGACGTGCGCAAAATGTGGGCGGGTTAAGGGTTGTTGCCACCGATGGAGAAGTGGAGGAGGTGGGGGATGGGTCACAGTAGCTGCAGCGCATTGCTGGAAAAATTAATGTCACATGACAGCCAGAGTGAATGCGCGCTAGCGAGGGATGCTGTTGGAGTGGGGCGGGGGGAAGCAGCAGTGCATTTTAGTCAGATAAACAAGCAGAGGGCAAGCGAGCAGGAATGGGGAGCAGGAGCAGGAGCAGGGGCCTGTGTGTGTGTGTGTATTTGTCATGACTCTTGGTACAGTTTCGCAGCAAAGTTGACTCTAACAAATTGAAAATCATTGAACAGCGAAAGTAAAATGCGCACCTAAGCAACGACGAAGGGTGAGGGGAGAGAGGGTAGCTCTTTCACTCCCCCTCCGCCCCCCCCTCTCTCCCCCAATCTCTCTGTGGCTTAGTGAAAAATAGTGTAGCATACATTTAAGCAAATTGCAATTAAGGTTGGCAACGTTTGCACAATGCTTTGTTTGGCTATCCGATATTCAAGCCAGCTGCAGCCGTTGGCATTGCCATTGCCATTTGCCAGTTGCCAGTTGCCATTTGCCGCTCGACAAAGTGCGCCAATATGCCACAAAGTATGCAACAATTTGTAGCATAAATACTTTGTGCGCGCGCTCTCTCTCCCTTCGTCCGCCCTCACACTACAGTGTGCATTCGCAATAAAGGCCACACATAAATGTTGCATATGCCGAACGAGTTGTGTTTTTATCCATCTCGTTCTCCCCCCGCTCGAGTGGCAGCCCATTTTAATGGATCTATGTGTGTGTGCCCCCTTTAGGTATCCATTTGTCAGCAGCAGGAGCAGCAGCAGCAGCAGCAGCAGCAGCTGGCAGGTGAAGCATTTCCGATTCGACTTGGGAGCTCTCGGTGTTTATGGGCTGTACGCCTCTGTAGTGGTGGCGGGGGGCGGCTGCTTATTGCAGTTGGTGATAATGCTTGCAGCAGCGTGAGTCTAGTTTATCTTATGCTGTGCTATGTTGCATGGCCATTTGTTGCAATATTGCGCCCACACTCTGTTTATGTAAGCATATGGAAAGGCGTGTGACTGGCACGCTTAACGACGAGGATAGGGATCATTGCATGGTTGCCAGAATGAGCTTGAGATCAGAATGGATTCTTCGCTTCTAGTCTAGCCAAAATATTACTCTGTTGTGCCATGCTTAGTTTTAAATGATAAGCGAATGAGTTTTGTTCCTTTTTCTTAGCTGTTGCCAAATTTTACTTCGCCCTGTTGCCGTGCTTCAACTTAATATAAATATTGCTCTGTTGCCGCACTTCATTATAGATGAGAAAAAGGTTCCTCTCTCAAATGAAATATACAAAATACACAAAATATCGCTCTGCTGCCCATACCTCGCTTTAGATGAGATAGGAGAATGAGTTTCCTCTCTATTTCTTAGCTGTTGCCAAATTTAAGTTTGCCCTGTTGCCGTGCCTCACTAAACTGTATATAAATATCGAAAGAGATGAATGGATAGCCATTTTTACGAGTTGTTAGCTTTCTGCAGTTGCCAGAATTTATTAAACCAATACAAATTATTATTCTATTGTCACACTTATCGTATATGAGTGAAAACTCTTTGAAGTCTGTTGCCAGACTCTACTTAACGAAATATCGAATATATTGCCAAGATATATACAATAATATTAACAAGATATATTTACACATTTTATCTTGGCTAAAGGAAGAATACTTTTCTATAATTATTGTCAAATTTAATTTTGCTTTGCTAAACTTAACGACATATCGAAATTATGCATTTAGCTGTTGCCATAGCTCACAAAGTCTGGTAAATTTCAGCAAGCGCTGTTGTCATACTCAAGCTAAAGTAAATATTCAAAATGCTTCGTTTGCCAAACTCTATAAAAGTTTTTAGGAGCGTAACACCTGCCGCTTGCTTTGCACTTACTTTTATATGTTTACTGAAATTTATAATTTTAATACGTTCAGAACTTTCTCTAAATATCAAAATTATAAACTTGGCTAAGAGCTGCGCCTGCCTTTTGGCAATTATTTACAGTTTGCTAACCGCGCGCTGACTGCTGGCTAAGTTGTCGAACTTCATTAATTATACCATTATTTGCAATTTCCGCACTTAATTGTGGTCGCAAGAGTGTGTGTGTGTGTGTGGCTTGCATGCAAATCCAGTCCAGCTCGAAGGAGTTAAATTGCCATCGCGCGCGCACAGTTCGCGCTTCATAAAAACTAAACTGCAACTTCCGGAGCTTTTGAGCACTGCCACGCTTCCAGCAAGCTGCCTGGCGCCTTGGCTCTCATAATCTAAAATAATTTTGTGTGCGCACTAAATTTACACCTGAGGAGCGGCGAGAACGGCGCGCGCCTTCGCACCTGATGCTTGCGTGTGAACACATTTTCCAGCAATTGCATGCAACAATTTGCCTGCCGCGAATTGCTTAAACATTTTAGGCACGCTTCCGACCCCCACCCCCCGCTCCCTCGGACACACACAATGCTCCCCTTGGGGGCTGTGAAATTCTTTTGCTCCAACTCTCAAAACTGACCGAAAACTTGAGCTTCGCGTCACGCATACGCCCCGTGCGCCGGGCAACAAATCAGCGAGCCGTCTGTGAATTTCAATTAAAGCTGTGTGTGTGTGTGGGTGTGTGCCAATAGCTGAGGATGAATGACTCTGTTTACCTTTTACTGTAGATGCGGCTCCAGTCTAGCCTCTGGCTCTGGCACGTTCGGGCATTTATTGACTGACCCAGTCCAAAAAAAAAAAGAGAAGTATATATATTTGTGGCTTATTTGCTTAAGGCCAAGTTTTAAATTGAAACGTGCCCCAGTCGACGCAATGCTTTTAAAGCTCCTAAATATTCGCATGCAAAATGCAGAAGGATTAAAAGCTTTGTCGGCTAGCAAAACCAAGCAGAGTAAAGCAGCTAGCGAGGGGGGCAGGCAGACCAGGAGGCAGGGGCGGAAGTCTGAAGGCAACTGTGCGAAGCGCAAATCAAATCGAAAAAGTATTTGCGAGGTGCCAGGGATTAAATAGCCTGTCCGAAGTGGACATGGCTATAAATACAGCGAAATATTCTGCCATAAAACTTTCGATGCAAATGTCAACCTCAATATCCTTTGGCTCTGAAATATTGCTTCCAATTTGGTTGGTGGACAACAAAATAGCAAAATAGCTAGCGCGAAAAACTAACAAGCGTGAATAGAACAACACAAACAAATGCCATCAAGTGGCGAGCGTTGTGCGCGTGCAACCCTGGCTAGATTTTTGTATAAATATTTTGTCAGGTAGCAGCCAAAAAAAAAAAAAAAAAGCTAAAAGTAAAAAAGGAAAACAGGGGAGAAATAGCAGGACTCTACTAAGCGAAACACAAACAGTTGCGGCGCTTGGCACTTCAGGCGCTTGGGTCCGGCGACTAAATCAAATCAAAACAACAACAAAGCAGCTGAGTGAGAAGCGCAGAGAGCGGCGCGCCATAAAGTAAATGGCAATGCAAATGCTCTGGTAAACTTGGCCAAAGTCCTTGATGAAGTTTAAAGTGTTTCTGGCTTAAATGGCGTTAAACAACTGATGCAACTTCGGCTCCCCCTGCTCCCCCTGCTGCTCCTGCTCGTTCTGCTCCTCTTCCTTCTCCATACATGTGTGTTAAAAGTTAATTAAGTAAAAACCTTGGCAACTTTATGCCGTGCAGAAACGGCTACACACGGCGTATACGCAACATTTTGACAGCTTGTTACGCTTCTTGCTTTAATTATAACGCTCCCGAGTTTCAGTTGAGGCGAGTGGCTTTGGTTTTGCGGTTCTGGCCGCGTTTCAAGTGGGCCGTAAATCTTTGCGCTGCCTGGTTGTTGTTATTGGCCCTGTCAATGGGTTATTGGGTGGCTTAGCATGTTGACAGTTTTCGAGCAACCACACCCCCTACTCCCTCCCCTCGCAAATACTGTTGCTGCTAGAATTTTATCGATTGCGGCGATGTTTTGGCTGTGGCTTTGGCTTTGGCTTTGGCTTTGCTCTGCGTATTTTTATTGCAATTTCCATTGGTTTTCGGAGCCTTCGTTTGTGTTTCTCGCAAAGCGCGGACTTTTTTCAATTAGCTTAGTTTTTCAGCAACCGCATTTCGCTCCTCTCTCTCTCTCTCTACCCCCTGCGAGCCGCGAACCGCCAGCTGCCAATTCAGGTTATTGCTCCTTGTTAATAAAAGGCAGTCAAAACGAATTTTGTTCTCAGCCTCGTTTCACAACTTTTTGGCGCTTCAACAACAACAACGAACAGGCAAACAAACAAACACAATTTGCATGCAACAACAATAACAGCAACAACAACAACAACAATACGACGAGAATAAAATAGAAATCTGCATATAATTTTTAGCATATTTTTTAATTTGTTTTAATTTTTAAGCTTTTCATTAATATTTTTATGCGTTTTTTGTTTTTCTATTTTATTTTTATTTCGTTGGTTTCTCGATTCTTGTTTAAATTGTTGTTGCATGCAATGTGTGAATAACAAACTGTTTGAAACGTGCACCACAAAATGTAGTTGCAACAATCCAAACACAACATCGCAACAACCACCACCACCACCACAACAACAACCACCACCACCAACAACAACACCACCACCAACAACATCATCACCAACAACAACAACAACACCATCAACAACAACTTGTTGCCCCAGCTCAAACGCACAATCTTGTTCCATTTAAAGAGCCTCCACTATTGGGACCAGGCACCGCCTTCCCACCATTCGGGGCACCCGAATACCATCCCACCCAGCCGGACAACTGGAAGGGCGCCGCCATCCATCCAACTGGCCTCATGAAGGAGCCCACCGGTGTCGTCGCCGGACGCAATGCGCCAGTGGCCTTCGCCCAGCAGGGCCAGGCACAGGTGAGTATCGAAATGAACTGGAGGCACCTCCTCCCCTTTGGCTTTCTCTCTCTCTCTCGGCCTGGCTTGGCTTGGCTTGCATTTCTATTCATAAATATAATTTTAATTTTAATGTACAATTTGTGCGCACACTGCAATCCTCGCCAGCGCCAGAGGCAGAGCGAAAGCCACAGCCATAGCCGCTCACAGCCCACAAATCCCCTCCAGCTGCTGCTGTGCCGTTGTGGAGCTGTGTGGAGCTGCTGCAGCATCTGTTGGACAGCATTTTAATTAATTTGTTGTTGCGTTTTTTCTCTTGCCTTTTTTGCATCCTCAGGGCGCTGTCATGATGGTCTATGGCATGGACCATGACACTTCCAACACAGATAAGCTCTTCAATTTGGTCTGCCTCTATGGCAATGTTGCCCGGGTAAGTTCTCCCTCAATTAATTTGTTAAACATTTAAGATCTTACGCAGAGATAAGCCTAGCAGTGATATATTAATTAATTATATATCAATTTWTATTGTGGGAAACGTAGATAATCTGAAAGGGAAATGAGAATAAACTTTGTTAGTTGGGTTAGTGGAGCATTCCATGATCTTTATAAGGAAATCTATGTAGGAAAACAGATCATGTAAAGAGATCTATAATAAGGATAATTTTTGTATATTAGATCAAGCATTTCCTTATCTGTGTATTAGCTGTAACTTTACATGGCATTTTATGATCTTTTTTCAATGAAGCCTTAAACTAAATAAATAAATAATTTATGAGTAAGTTGTGAAATAATTTAAACAAATTTCAAATGAAACTCGACATAAAAATCGCACGAAAGAACTGGCTGCAATTGCATAATAAAACTTGTGAATAAAACTGCTAGAAACTCTTTAGTTTGACGGCCGTGCGACAGTGGCTCATAAAAGTGCGAGAGCAACTGCAAATTTAAAGAGGAATTTATTTTATTTTTGCTCAACTTAAATCTCTTCAATTGCCACTTAAAGACACGAGTAGGCGGGGCTGCTGCTGCTCCCGGCAGTGAACGGGGGGAGGGCAGCAGCTCTTAAACTTGCACTTAGCAAGATGACACGAAAAAAGCGAGACGCCGTTTCATGTTTAGTCGTTCTCTAAGAGGCCGTTAAAAAAAAGGTGTTGCTATAACGGCCGCAAAAACCGCAAGAGTATATACCAAATGTGTGTGCGTATGTGTGTGTGTGTGTGTGTGAGTATTGCTCCATTTGTAAATGCGCAAATAAAATGAAAGGCAATAAAATTGAAGGCAAAGGCCAAGCCAGGACACAGGACACAGAAGCCAAATGCCCTTTAGGCACATACAAACGTGGGACAGTTGGTCCACAACCAAAACACATTTAGATAAAGCGTTTTAGATTAAAGCCCCAGACACATGTGCAGAGAAAGATGCGAGAGAGCAGAGGGAGGGGGGAGCATAAAGAAATTGGTGAAAGTAGAAGGCGTAGAGAGCGCGTAGAGGTCCTCGGGCAGCAATCAATGCAGCATCATTTTGCTTTCGCCACATACTAATACCGAAGAAGGAAGAATAAAAGATGCGAGAGGAATTGATTCCATTTCGGAAGTACCACAAAAGGCGCTGCGAGCAACAATTCTCGCTTGAAAAGTAAATCAAAATATGCCACAAAAAGTCATCCATTAATAATGGGAGAGGGCAGATGCTACTCCACCTTTGCCCAAGTGACAATTGAAGTGGACGCTTGGGGAGCATTTAGCGCGCAACTATTGTGAATCCCACTCCCTGCCACTCTCAATGGCGATCAAAAGAAAAACTTAAAAAAGAAGAGAGAAAGCAAAAGCAGAAGCGAAATGAACTGGACCCGCGAAACATCAAAGCCAAAATGTTAATAAAGCGAATGCAAGAAAAGGAATGAAGACGGAGTAGGAGTGGAAGTGGAAGTGGAAGTTTCCTGCTAACTGAGGATTCGCTTTCACTTTATTGCCACTAACAGTTGCGCGCTCTGCAAGTCCTTTGATAATTGCAACCCAACAAGGACAATAAAACGAAAATACAAAAAAAAAAAAACAAAACAAAAAAATCCAAGTTGCTCGCGGCTTTTGTTTAGTTTAATGCTTGCAGCAAAGCGCGAATCCCGCGAGTTCCTTAACGGGCGACGGGCGACAGCGGGAATAGAGCGCGAGGGAGTCGAAAATAAAAAGCGTTTGAATTAGTGTCTCGAGCTAGGGAATACGGAATAGGAATAGGTGAAAGGTCACTAGTGTGTGATTCTTAAAGTTCAAGCATAGTTAAACAAGAGAGGGAACAAGCTTGGGGTTTAAGGGAAGTAGATGGAGGGCTTAGCAACGTTGATTACTTATTTGATACTGGAAACTAGAAACTTGCTATTGAAATTTGTTAAACTATATACTTGGCAAGTATTTAGTATTTATTCTTATATGAAGTTTATTCTAACTCTATTAGACAATGTTTGTGTTTGATCATGTGATTTGCAGTAATTGCAAATACAATAGCTGTATAAACTATGGGAACTCTATGGAATTTAAGTTGGGTAAACGATTGGGCTTGTTTATCTTTGTTTAAATTAACAATGGATAAAATATTTCTGTGATATGGCAATTACAAATTCATGTTATCTGTTAACTTGTCAGCTATTATTCTCATAGTTTATATAAATTCTCGCTTAGAAATATTATAAAACAGGCTTGATAATGTTTAGAAACTGTAGGAATAATATAGCTCAAAAAAGAGTTTCTTATTGTAGTATGGCAACGCTTGCCCAAAATGTCAGTGTAAAAGTTTCAATAATTATTCAAACATTTAAATATAATCCAATATGAAACAAAACTCTTAACAAGCATTATGCCATCTGGCAGGTCTTGATTATATCTGCCTAGAAAATATAGCTCCCTAATATCTGGCAACTCCGTAAAATTTAAAATATTACAACGTTAATTAGCGGTTAACTCAGATATCCAAGCGAGACTTTCTATAGTAAATCTGCTAAATTAAAATATTCCAACTCTATAGATATATTTGGCTGATGTGCCACGAAGCTTATCTCGGCAACATATGGACATGGTGGCAACACTTCTTGTTTTTATCTAAAACGCAGTTTCCACTTCATAAAATCGCAGCTTTCGCCGCCAGCCAATTTTTCAACAATTGCACTCCATTAGCCAATTATTTAACAACCTTCAAGCGCGCACTCACACACACACACACACACAAACACACACACACACACACACACTTAGGGCAGTCACACACTGTGGTGCCACGCCTTGGGTGCTTGCGCACGCCCTTCTACAATTAAATGCAATTTACGCGCAAAACAAAAAAATAGTTGAGCTAAAAGCAAACTGACAGGCAGCCAGCCTTGGACGTTGGTCAACAGCAGCAGCAGCAGCAGCAGGAGTAAGGGGGGACTAGGGGTAGGGAAAGGCAGGAATCAGGGCAAAATAGTTGGATTGTTGGATAGTTGGGTTTAGCGCTAGCAGCAGCAGGAGCAGCAGGACGAGGGATAATGCGCCCAGGCAAAGGCAATTTCGTTGTTGTGTGTTGGTGAGATTTATTACGAACTTCCTGTCCGAGACGGAAACTACTCATTAGCCATTAAAAATGATTATGCGCAAACATTATTCATTGCGACCGAGAACTCTTAAGCCACAAAGCATGCTGCTGCAGCTTACACAATGTCAGACAGTAGGAGATTGCCCACTGCTTCTCTCTCTTTCTCTGTTACACGCCTCGCTAAAGAAGCCGTACACGGGCTCATTATAAACCAACTTATGTGTGTGCAGTCTCTATATACGCTCACTCTCTCTTTCTCTCTCTCTCTTTCAACTCTCTATCTCTCTCCCTGTCTGCGTGTGTGCTCACATCAGTTTATGTCCGACATGTTTGAATTGCGAATGAGAAATTGATGGGCACTCAATCAAAGTGCTGCATGAACCTGAGGCCGCCGCCGCCTCTGCCTCTGCCTCTGCCGTTGCCTTTGGTGTTAATGTGTGTCCCTAAGGGATTAGAGGGGAGGAGCTCTTTCTTCCCACCCACAGTCGGATCACATTTTAAAGGCATGTGCTGTAGATTAGCGATAAAAATACTTCTGTGTGCCTTGCATAAAGAATCATGAATGCGCTCTACGTGGGGCTCAACTCGTTAAAATCAATATTGACAAAGCAACATGAAATATATATGTGGCTCGGCTCGCTTCCGATTAATCTTTTTACAGTTACTTGGGGCATGCTAAAGAGGTCCTGAGATCCTTAAGTCAGTTGAATACTTTTCATCAAAAATTAGATTTAATATCTTCCTTATACGAGCTGAATCAAGCAATTCTCACGTTTCCTTTCAATCCTTTGAATGAGATTTTGAATAAATTACAGAAATTCTTAAACCTTCTGAGAACATATATAATAATTTCTTTGAATATAGCAATTTGCTACTCCATGTTTTAATTATCATAGCAGAAGGCCTAGAAGATTCCAAAATCTATTTCTCAGGAAAATAAAATCCAAAACTATTTTTTTGTATATTTAAAATTATTTATGAATTCACATTCATCACTCGAATATAATTCCAACAAAATTAAATCCAGAAATTCAATTCATACAATTGCCTTGCCCTAAATAAACTCAAAACGCAATCAATATTGTATCTAGGACACAGAAATCACGCACTTGCCATAAATCAAGCCTGATAGGATTTGGCTAAGCATTAGCTTAGCCCAGCCTAACGGAAAAAAGCTGAGATTCGTTTATCCCGCTTTCGCTTAGACGCAATCAACCCACCAGTTGAGGTAGCTAAGCCGAGTCAAGTGAGCAGTTAGATCTCTCTCTATCTATACCCTGCACTTGCTATGCTTGCACCTGACTCCAAGTCTCATCCAATTTAAACTGACTCTGACTCTGACTAACTGCCTCAGTCTCTGCCTTCGCTTCAGCCTCAGCCTCGTCCTTTGCCTTTGCCTGCCTGTAATTTCCAAGGCATACTTCAAAGCGAATATCCAACTACATTTTGCTGATGTCTGCGATGTGTGTTGCATATTTTATGAAAAAGTTTTTCCAGCCAAGTTGCTTCACAAAAAAATAGAAAAAAAGAAGAAAAATGAGATTAAAAACAATTTAAGTAACGAGCTCAACGCCGCCTGGCAGTCGATTTAATTATATTTTTTGTAGGTGCCGTGATGAAGTCATCGTCCAAATTGATTTTCAGGTTAAATGGCTTGACAAATACGAGGCGAGAGGCCAACAGCAGCGCAGCTCGCTGTTGCACACGACCAAATTGGTAATGTCTTTAAAAGCGACAGCAACAACAGCAGCAACAACAACAACAAGAACAGGACGACGACCTGCTACAGCAATCACACGCACTCAATTAAATGCGCATTAAAAAAGCATTTGGCTCGATTATGGGCCTGGAGAGAGAGCGTAGGAGTTGTGCTTTTGGGGCTGCCCCTTGGGAATAGTGGGAGGAGGGGGTGGTATAGAT